AAAGCCGGAGTACCCGGAGAAAAATTACCGACCTGCGACTAGTACCAGTGGAAAACAGACTTTCTGAAAACACTTAAACTATCCAGTCATAACTGTAATAAAAGACCACTCGTTGTTTATGTTCGAAATTTTTGAGCTAATGCCATACTTTTGTTAATGTTTAAGAAAAACTGGAAGTTATTTAGTTGGTTATTTATTTTTCTATTTTTTACATTTTCATAAATATTTTTGTTTTCTTTAGTGTACAAATACAATACGTTTCTACTCTGCCTTTTCTATCAATCTGTTTCTAAACATACATGTCATAGTACCCAAGGTGTTGCAATGTCTGGCAACAATGAAATCGATTTATTCTACAGCAAAACAACAATAGCAAAATGATTGGAATCAACTTTATCAAATTATTTAAGCAGTTTCCTATAGAAATATGAACATAATTAGGTTCATATAAAAACCGCAAATAAAAGTATTATTAGATTTTTTTGGATAAAAACGATTAGGTTTTCACAGAGCAAGAGGAGATTTGATGTAGTTCAACATGACGACAGAGGAGAGGAATTGACCAAATGCGAGGGTGAAATAAATAAAATATCTAAACCCTTTCTTTCGTACGACCTTTGAATGACCGATAACGTCCCGGTAAGGTAAACCCCTGGACATTGAAGCATCCTGAGTTTCAAATGCGTCACTGCATCAAACAATGTGGATCTCACTAGATATGGAGGTCATCTATAAACACCGATTGTTTATGTATTGTTATATGTTTTGCAAAACTGATTTCGTTTGAAGGATATCATGTTAGTTATGTGTCTACAGGAGAACCTCGCTGATCCAGACGATATAGTGGACTAAGGTTAAGTAGAGCCCCGTTCTTCCGGACACGCTGACGCTGTAAACAATATCCCACTGCTTTTGTAAATAAAAAATCCCAGAATATTCTTTATATTAAAGATTACCAGCTTAAACAGTACAAAGAAGGAAAAGTCCAACATAGGAATGAAAATGGAAATTTAATTTTTGTTCTAAAATTTACGTTTTGTTGTTTAATCATAAGTGAAAAATGAAGCCAGATGTTCAAGAAGTGGAGTTGAAGTATAAAAATAAAGTGATTTATTGTCAGTTTCTAGGTACACGCTACTCAACCACCGACGATATCTATTTCAGATGGACATTATATCTAAGGGCTCTGCATGCTAATGTTAAGTTGCATACTCGACGCATTAGAAATTTAAGCGCTGTACACTCACATGCACCCATGACTGTACAGTTTTATCTATACATATCACGCCTCTAATATACTCGCCTCTATATATACTTTCGTAATCCAATTGGTTCATGCATGTCACGTGATTTAATTTTGTATAGCCATCGTCGCAAAAGAATTATAACTTGATACAATGTTGATAAAGGATTCACCAAGTTCCTGTCGTAACAACAGAATTTTGAAAAGAAATGGTGAATCCACAGGCACTGAGAAAGTGTTACAGCTAACACAGGCACTGAGGATGTGTTACAGCTAACACACACAGGCACTGAGAAAGTGTTACAGCTAACACAGGCACTGAGAAAGTGTTACCGCTATATAACAATTTTACACGTTTTAGGGGTTTAGATTAACTTTCGGTAAAATATCTCCCCATAAACCCCTAAAACGTGTGAAATTACTCTGAACACCTTAATTTAGGTCCAAATATAGCTGTAACACATTCCCATATCCCTGTGGGTGAATCGTGAGGGGACAGTATCACGTGGATATCGACAGACATTCTCACATTGTACAGAAAAACAGAACAGACATATTAATTCCATAAAATACTTAAACTATTAACTATAGAATCAAAGCCCGATGCATTCTGAGGAGATTAGGGACCAACACAATAATATGAGTGTTACTACTCATGCTTTTGACTCAGTCGCTACCAACAGGAGTAGAACAGGCTGTTTAAGGTAGATCACTCCACCACCTTTCTGCTGTACACAGGACATGGCAGGTTATTTTCACATTAAAATGCTATTTCTTGTGTTTAAATAATAAAAGTAACCGATTGCGGTTTTAAGGGAATTAAAGCATTGTTAAATTATCCCCTGTCAAGTTGCAGAAAGATTTGATTTACACAACAAAATTTTGATCGGTAAGCTTTAGATAAATCACAGGGGTTCGTTACAAATGTCTGAAATACACATATGCTATACTGATATGGGTCAAAGCACACATAAACACTGATATGGGTCACAGCACACATAAACATGTTTACCAATATCAGTATAGCATAGTGTATTTCAGACATTTATAACGAACCCCTGTGGATAAGTGAAGAGGTTCGAAATATAATTCGCGAGGTAGCAGGGGTGTTCTTATGAAAAAGAAAAATATAATGAATAAATATATTTCATTATAACTCTTTGCTATATTATATGAGGAAACAACTTCAATTCAGCAAAGTACCACAACAATCCCAGGACGCAAGGACTTCCTACCTCAAAGTACCACAACAATCCCAGGACTTCCTACCTCAAAGTACCACAACAATCCCAGAACTTCCTACCTCAAAGTACCACAACAATCCCAGGACGCTAGGATTTCCTACCTCAAAGTACCACAACAATCCCAGGACTTCCTACCTCAAAGTACCACAACAATCCCAGGACGCTACCTTAAAGATCCAAGCGGATTGTTCAGGAATAATACATTGTCACGAAAATACCATACGTTGAAGAGCTGTGTAGTAAAAATATGAATCTGAAACCAAATAATCAAGATGTACTCATGGGAGATATTACATTTCTTAACTTCACCCTTGGTTCAAAATATAGAATTGCCCTCATTTCCATGTGACTCCGACGGATCGCATGGCGATAGATTGTTCAATATTCGTCAACTTGGATATTACTCGGATCGGACAACAAGTTATTACAACTTAATAAAGTCCCCCTCCTCAATACATATGGTAAAAATAGTGTATATGTTTTTTGGCAAAGGGAAAAAGATGGTAGAGAAGGAAAGGTGGGGTGGGATGGGGTGGGGGTGATGGAGGGTAGGGGTAACAAAGAAAACAGACAAAATAATGACATACAATTTCATAAACACATATAACAACTTACACACAAATAAAAATAGAAAAGTAATTATAACTATCAAACTTATTGCTGGATGTGATGTAATGATGCACATGTCTAAAGATACTTATGTTGTTTTCTATACTATTACCAAACAAAAGTAGTTCTAAATTAAAATCAACATGCAAGGCATTCAAATTTTAGAGCAGGGTTTGTCTTTCGTTGTTAAAAAGTAAGCACTCACAAAAAAGTGAAAGGCATTTTCACAATAACAAACTGGACTATCAGCCATACTTACTCTAAAAAGATCATATTTAAGTGACTACACTGATGTCTAACTTTAGTGTGCAACATGTTCAATTTACGTTCACCGAAACCTAAGTAGAATGGTGGAGGAGATTGTACATTAGTTGAAGTTAACGAGTTTTTAAAAGAATGTAATGAGGTCAATGATCGTACTGAAAGGTCCAATGAATTCCAACCGCGAAGATTTGAAGGTATAAAAGATGAATTTGTTTCTGTAAGAATTTTAAGATCAGACTAGCTCATTCCCGAATATCACCTATACATCAAGAATATCTGATATTGATTTGGACCTGAAGTACTTCTTTTTCCCCCGATTACCTCATCTCCCTCACGCATGAAGCAATTGTTATCCTTGTACCATCATTTCCTATCGCGAAACAAGTTACATATAGCCTAACTGTGCCCGTTTTCACTGATGTTCCTTAGCTTTAATGAGGTTTTTTTAAGTTAAGTGTAGCGGAACTGGACTGGGTCGATCGTTGACCAGGTAGCTCAATTGGTAGAGCGTCCGTCTAGAGTTCGGAAAGTCCCGGGTTCGAACCCCGGTCTGGCCGTTACATTCCTCTTTCTCCTGTTACAAAATTGGCGACCTTGTGAACGAATGTTTTCAAACACTGGGTAAATGTGAGTATGTCTTCGTGGGGCGAAGACTTAAAAAAAGGAGGGAGGAATGTAGCGGAAGTAGACAGGGTCGATCGTCGGCGACCAGGTAGCTCAACTGGTAGAGCGTCCGTCTAAGAGTTCGGAGGGTCCCGGGTTCGAACCTCGGTTTGGCCGTTGCATTTCTTTTCCTTTTATTACATAAGCAATACTTTCTATATGAAGAAATCATTTTCATTGTCGATGTTTCATAAAACTGCTTTAGCCTTCGGTCCGAAAGATATTCTCTGTTATCTGTTAGAATGTTACTTATTCATTGCAGTTTTTATAATGTACATCTCAATATTCAACATATAATGCACACATTCATTCTTACTTTTATTTACAAATTATGGTATATTTTGAAATTTGGTCATGAAAATGGAACCATCCAGCACAGTCAGCGCAGTGATATCCTGGCACTATTCCATATTTTCAACTATTCAACAGTTCGTCACGTCCCTTGCTTTGTGGCTTTCTCCTTTTCATTCCATCCTTTCTCGAAAATTCGTTTCTACCGCACTGGCTGTAACTGAATGGCCAATCATATGCCTATATTACATACATTCAAGCACACGCACACTTCTTGCATTCACGCTCTCGTGCAATTAAAAGAAAGTTAAACATTACAGAGGATTACTAAAATAATAAGGAACACACAAGTGCACGTTATGACATGTAATACGGACACAAGCTAAGAAATGAATATCAAAGATAATGAGGACTGTTGGAGAGGAGACAGAAGAACGTGACCAAATTTAAAACCTGCGAGTACTCGATACATACTGTTGGACATATATAAATACATTTTTATTTTCGTCACTCGAATAATCTTCAAGGCCATACAATAATTTCTCTGTATGTACCTATACAGTTGGTGAAATACTGCGAATCCATTGACATCATCAGCCGGGTCCATCAGTCTCTAGACGTTTCAACCCTTGTCCCGGAACGTCCTCGTGATGGTGGGTCGACAGTGGCGATCAACTCACTGCCCGTCAATGGATGGCTTCCAGTCTTTCTCCTCCCGTCTGTTCCACAACCAGCATGATGCGCGCTCGGCAGCCTCTGCTAGCCTGCGCACCGCCGTCTTGCGTGTCTTTCCAACTAATCCCACAGCCTGCAATGTCTTCCAGGCTGAGCGTGCCGGGAACCCTCTGCATCCGACCTCCACAGGAAACAGCCAAGAAGCCACCCTCGCTCCCTACATTGTTCCATGAGCTCCGTATACTTGGCTCTCTTTCTCTCATTGGCCTGATCGCACCGCTCCTCAGCTCGATGACTATAATCTGCCTGGATTCGGCAGACCATATCACCACATCCGGACGTAGCGTTGTCTGTACGACGTCCGGAAACACCAATTTCTTCCCCAGGTCAACTCTCATCTCCCATGCCTCTGCCCCTTCCAGAATGCCAGTGTTGCCTGATGTTGCTTTCGTCTCCTTCTCACCTGCTTTTACAAACCGGATGAAGGATGGTTTGTGCTTACGAGGTGGTCTCTTCTTCTTCCTTTCCACCTCGAGAACATCTGCCAATTCCCGAAGCACCTGGTCATGTCTCCACCGGTATCGTCCCTGTGTTAGCGCTGTCTTGCATGCCGAAAGGATATGGCCCATGGTCCCACGTTCTTGACATAGCTGACACTTTGGCTCTTCGACTAGTCCCCACAGATGAAGGTTCGCTGGCGATGGTAAAGTGTTATATACTGACCGCAACAGGAACTGGATCCTCAATGGTTCATAGCGCCACAGGTCTGTCCATGTAAGTTTTCGCTCCGGCAGCTTCCATTTCGTCCATGCTCCTTGAGAGCCCATTTCCACTGCCCTTGCTTTCCTGGTCCCTTCTTCTTCTCTGCGGATTTCTCCCTGTACCAGAGATCTTTTCTCCTTATCATCTGATCCTTCCCATGTCTGGAAATGGGTTGTCCCCAACCCTTGCCGGTCTGAGCAGGTTGCTCCGACGATGTCCCGGTGCTTGAGAGCGCCCTCGGCCTGCTCCACAGACTGGCTTGCAGACCATTTCCTTCCTGTCCTAGTCTGGATTCCTGCATTTCTTATCTTCACGTCCTTTGAATCTCGCAGCGTCATCACTAGTCTGGCCTTTGTTACCTTGAACTCCTTCACCAACGATGACAGTGGGAGTTGCAGTGATGATGTCCGGCTGTAGAGCCCAATGCTGGAGAAACTGGACGGGACTCCAAGCCACCTCCATGCCTTGAACTTTCCTGGCAGGCCTGACTTGTCAATCTTCCTCATCCACTCAATTGCCTGCTTCTGCATGCTGCTGATGTTGCTGGTATCTTTCAGTGATGCATCAAACCACTTTCCTAGGCACTTGATTGGGTTGTCCGCAATTGATGGGATCTCTTCTCCTTGTACTTTCAGCTTGAACTGTTGTGTCAGTCGTCCCTTCCTCATTATCATGCACCTTGATTTTCTTGCCTTGAATTTCATCCTCGCCCATGAGACTACCTCCTCCAATGCAGAAAGAACCCATCTTGCTTGGACATGTGTGGTGGTAGTCACAGTCAGGTCATCCATAAAACCTCGATTCGAAGGTTGGTAGATTCCTGATTCTGTCCTCGGCCCCCTGGTTTCCCGTCCTGCTGCCTTGATGATAAGATTCATCCCCATGACAAATAGAATGACTGATATGGTACATCCTGTCACTATTCCTTTCTCCATGTTTTGCCAGGATGTTGTATCCTCCCCGACAGTAAAGCGCACCTGGATTCCACTGAAGTAGCTTCGTACTATTCCCTGTATATGCTCCGGGATAAAGTAATGTTGTAGGGCTACTTCAATCAGCTCATGTGGTATTGATCCGTATGCGTTTGCCAGGTCTAGCCACACTACTGTCAGATTCCCTCGGCTGGACTTGGCCTCTCTGATTAGTTGGCTGAGCACACTGGTATGCTCCACACAACCTGAAAAGCCTGGGATACCTCCTTTCTGTACTGATGTGTCAATGTATCCATTGGTCATCATGTATGATGTCATCCTTCTTGCCAATACTGCAAAGAAAATCTTGCCTTCAACACTCAGCAAGGAAATTGTCCTGAACTGCCCGATGTGTTTTGAGTCCTTCTCCTTTGGAACAAAACATCCCTCTGCCTTCTGCCAACATGGTGGTATCTTCCCCTTCTTCCACACTTTCCTCAGTAACTGCCATAGTCTCCTCAAAAGCCGTGGGCACTTCTTATACACTTTATAAGGAATTCCACTTGGGCCTGGAGCTGAACCAGTTCTTGCCTTCTTAACAACATCTTGGATCTCCTTCCAAGTTGGTTCCTTGGTGTCAAGCGGAAACTCTGGCGGCTCCTCTGCTTCTATCCGTGGACAGTTCCCAAGTGGAATGCCCCTATCTTCATCTCCGTGCGTTTCCCTCAGGTGTTGCTCAATATCTGCTGTTGAACTATCCAAACGGCCTGATCTTTCCCCTCCCAGCAGAGTCTTTGTAAAAGAATAAGGGTCCTTGATAAAGGACTCCCTCTTCCTTGCTCTATCCTTCCTTGCCTTCTTAACCTGCTCTGCTTTCCTGAGTCTTGCCAAGTTCTCCCTGATGTCGTCCCGCAGCTGATGTAATCCTATCCTCTCTATATCACTTGCCCTCCTGTACTGTCGTGTGACTGCTTTCAGTTCTCGCCTGAGTCGTTGGATGTTATCCTGTCTTCTATTCGGGATAACTACGTTCTTGGGATTTCTCTGCTTTCCTCCTACTCCGAATCGTTCCTTGCAGAATGTGTAGATGATAGTTCCCATTGCCTCAACCTTCCTTTCTATGCTTCCCATTAGAGTCGACTCTAGGATGGTATGTAAGTCAGCATCTAAACTTCTCCAAGCTTCTTTGTTGTTCATCTTTTGCCACTCTATCCTCAACCTTCGTGCTGGCTGTGTTGGATGTGCTTGAACACCCTGGTCGTGGTTTGTATCACTCAAGTCTGAATGGCTGACCTGTGACGAAACCGAAGCAGAGAGGTCCCCAACACTATGGGGTGCCTCCTGGCTGGGGTCCTCCTGCGTCTCACCANGAGAGAGAGAGAGAGAGAGAGAGAGAGAGAGAGAGAGAGAGAATGTTACTTATTCATTGCAGTTTATAAATTATAATGTACATCTCAATATTCAACATATAATGCACACATTCATTCTTACTTTTATTTACAAATTATGGTATATTTTGAAATTTGGTCATGAAAATGGAACCATCCAGCACAGTCAGCGCAGTGATATCCTGGCACTATTCCATACTTTCAACTATTCAACAGTTCGTCACGTCCCGTGCTTTGTGTCTTTCTCCTTTTCATTCCATCCTTTCTCGAAAATTCGTTTCTACCGCACTGGCTGTAACTGAATGGCCCATCACATGCCTATATTACATACATTCCAGCACACGCACACTTCTTGCATTCACGCTCTCGTGCACTTAAAAGAAAGTTAAACATTACAGAGGATTACTAAAATAATAAGGAACACACAAGTGTACGTTATGCCATGTAATACGGACACAAGCTAAGAAATGAATATGAAAGATAATGAGGACTGTTGGAGAGGAGACAGAAGAACGTGACCAAATTTAAAACCTGCGAGTACTCGATACATACTGTTGGACATATATAAATACATTTTTATTTTCGTCACTCGAATAATCTTCATGGCCATACAATAATTTCTCTAAGCTTAGAGGTAAGTATTCATGAAGATTTCTAAACATTTCAAATCTTTGATCAGTATATATACTGCATGTAAAAAAGAAATGATGAGCATTTTCATTAGGATATCCACATGCACAAATAGGAGAGTTGATTAGGTTAACATTAAAGAGATCATCATTTAATGGGTACGCTTTATATTGTCACGTGAACGCAGATGCAATATTTTCGTGATGACAGCTGTTCAAGTTTAAACAGGAACATCTTTTTAGAAATTATGGTTTATCATTATTGTCATAATTTCACCAGCATAATTTCCAATTAATCGGTATCCATATTGCTAATCAAATGAAATAAGCTCATAGCCATCTCGTGTTAGTTACTTTTTGGCGGGAAGTTGCTGTTTCCTCTGATGACTTGTGAGATTGTATTGCAATGAGCGACGCGATCCACCCTATAGGGGGCGCTCCACGCGCGGCCGATGACAGGACGCAATAATCTCGACTTAATTACAAAACGTCAGCCAGTCAACAAACCAAAGCATGGCGAGCTTTATTCGAAATTCTTGACTAAAATTGCAAGTCTTTAAATTCGATATTACTAAACGAGGACAATAAACACACAATGGATTGCTATATGTATGTAGTGGGATGCATGAAGCCGAAGTTCACACAATACGACCAATTAAAAACAATCTGTAGTTTTCGGATTTTTCTAGCTTAAATGATTCAAATTAAAAACTTTCTCGTTATTTACTGTTACATTAAGGTTACTACTGAAATATGATTTGTATCAATCTCATCAAGGTTAAGAAGATGTGTTGTAAACTACATTTACAGTTCCTGTTTTTGTTTCAAGACTTAACGGGAGCGATCGAGCTATCCCTCAGTGCTACAAATCAATATGGCGTGGCCTGAATGTGTTGTGCTGATGAATGATGCTTAAAAACGACGTTGCATTGAGTTAATTAATTGAAGTCGATCAACCTTACAGCCTATCATGTCCTCAAGCTTCTGTGTCAAAGGATGTCGTTCTTTAATATTGGCGCCATTTGTCAACATTTAACTTGTCTCTTAGAGCGTTACTTAGCATGTGTCATTTCACACGTACTTCAGTTTAGATAAAAGTAAATAAATAAATGACGGAAGCTTTGAAAACAAAAAAAGGAGAAAATAACAGGTCCCCTGAGCGGTCCCTTTGGTTTGGTTTGTTTGTGTTTTACGTCCTGTTAACAGCTGTGGATCGAGGAAAGCCGAAGTTCCCGGAGAAAACCACCGACTCATAATTACGGCCAGTACCTGGCGAGATCGGTAAGGTTTCGGACCGAACGTTTTATTATTATTTCTTTATTTTTTTACCTCTCTATGTTCAAGAGTATGGGATCAGGATGTATGCGAATATATCAGTTCGTTTATTTTCAAATGTAATACGACAGGGGTAAAACCTCATGAAACAGCAGATATTAACGCATGTCTTGAAAATCTTTACCAGAGCTCGCAAGAAAGTATGTTCTCATCGTGAAGGCCGTCCCTATTTCATAAACGAACAATTCTGGTCAAACCGGTCTAACCGTTTGGAACGCAATAAACGAAAGCGGCCGAGGTCAAACATCGCCACGCGTGTCCTCAAAGTAAGTAATTAACATCGGCTACTAGAGTGACGGGTTTCTGATCATATATATATAAAGCTACAATAAGTTGATGAAAACACATTAAAACATTCTATCAAAAAGACCGTTCATTGTTCATCATGTGTTAATCACCTGTATATATTGACCTTGAACTTGTATGCCCTTTACTTTATCTCCCTGTTAACGGTACTTGCCAGCATTACATCTTCCCGGTCCCCGAACTGGGTCTGTACGGACATTTAATAAACGATAACGGGTTTTTTTCTGAGTGGAAATCACTTAAAGAAGCACGTTTCATCTCAGGGCCGAAGAGAATCCTAAACAATCATATTCACATGGTATAGTCAATATAACGGGGAATGAAATTTCAGATTTGAGGAAATCTCAAGATTTCTTAAAACCAGGAAAACTCTATAACACTTAAACGGTGTCATAAACAGGTGCGTGTTCTCGTCAGATGTACCAGCGAACTTTTGTCCCCTTTATCAAAGACAAACCACTCCAAGCGAATTAATGCAACTGTGTGTCATGAATATTCAATCTTGGTGACATTATGCCGGAACGAATCACTCACCTTGCCCGGAGGCCTGACCATCCACATTATTACTTCTAACGGTCGCACAGCCGTACTGATAACCTGCGTACGACCATTATATCTAGCTCTTACGTCCAACTTAATGAAGTTGCTAATCACATATATGTGTCTCGCGAGGGAATTCTTTTCGTGGGAATTTTCATCTATCACTTATTCAAGTCAATTACAAATATTAATAGGAATCCGCACATACTTGTCGCTTAACGACGAAAGATCGAATACGTACGCTAGTAGTTTGTGAGGTGAGCTGTTCATTGTGTGAGGTTGATATTAGTTGCCACTGCGGTAAACTTGGTTTAACTACTAACTATTCGTGTTATGCCAACCGCCAATGAATATATACAAATACTGACTGTAGTATCTGAGGTCAAATAGATCAAAATTTACCAACGCATCAACACATGAGGACAAAAACAAAATAACGCACGAGGACCAAATATATCACAACATTAACACACGAGGACAAAATATATCACAACATCAACACATGAGGGTGAAAATATACCGAGTATCACCATAGCAGGATAAATTATATCCCAACATCAACAATCGGCGGAACTGGTTACCATCGAAAACACGACATTATTCCCCAAAAAGGGCTGTTCCAACAATTTATCCGAAATGACCCACGAAGACCTACAATACAAACTGTGTTGCGTGCAAGTATAGATTAAAAAAGCGGTTCAAACCTTAAATATTACATAATACTGACAACTTATATGCCGATTTCCATTGCTAATTACGCATCGTTCAAGGTGAAACTTTATGAATGGCTGAAAATTTGTTAATTTTACCAGTGGCAGCGAAACTTAACAACCCATGGACCTGTGTTCGAATCCATGAATCTAGTCCAGTCTGAAGCGACCTGATACATAGTACACAAGTCCTGAATCATGTAAATTAGTGGTCAATATTCATACTGTACCTTAATGAAATTTATCATTTCTGATTTGAGAATTTTGTACAATACAATGATCAATTGATTACTTGGATTATATTGCCTAACCTTCACTTTGAGCTGACGTCCTTATTCCATGTTGTCCTACATTACAAATATAACGATTTGCAAGATTGCTACTCGTTATCCGCTAACAATTTATTTTCGATTATATTTTTCATCCCCCCCCCCCGCCCCTTATTTAATTTGAAAGTATCATTTGGAATGATTACTTCACATGCTGTCTGATTCGGCATCAAGAATTATATTTCATTACTAATTCCGTTCGACTTGGATTGAAATCCCCTTCTGAAGTTTCTACCACCGCAACAAACACAGCAGGCAACTGAAATATATCGACAAGGGCATCGGACCGTGAGAAACAGTAACGAAGTAATATCCGGTGTAGAGATAATCTGCTAGTGATAAATAAACATACAGAGAGCGTCAAAACAAATCGAGCGGTGGAAACAAACTTCTGAACACATGCATACCCGGGCTCAGCGACTTTCTGAAACGAGTAATGGTTCCACTCAGTACGAACTTCATGAGTCTATTGCATAGATGTCACGGTTATTGAGTAGAACAGCGTGTCGGGACTGTTCTATCTCAAACATCAGACCGGTACGATTCTTCAACAGTCTGACGAACAAATAAAACTAGTATTTCCGCCGAGCTGTGGAGTATCTCCTCCTCGCGCATACAATTCAGATAGTATCGATCTTAACACGTGCATGGTCTGCAAAGACTCATTTACAAAGTTTGGTGCTTTGAAAGAACCGTAATTGGACGCGTTTTCATGTTTCGGACTTTATTTGTACCAAAACAACGACAAAAGAATGGTCACATTAAAAGTATTGTATTATTATCGTTCAAATAATAAAAAACAAATTAAATATTTTATTAAATATTTTCTCGTCCCTTGATTTTCTTTCTACAGTTAACAGTTAGATTTTATAAGAAAAAATAATGTTTTCACCCGTCCTAAAAAACAAACTCGGAAAATCGGTCATATACTGTTAATCGTTGACTTTTCGCAAATATCTATATTAAAAAATATTCCTCCAACGAGATATTAACGAGGCATTGTGAGAAGTTGAAAAACAATCATTTTGTACAATACATAAGAGAAGAGCTTTTTTAAAATCTTTAAACCCGCGTAGGTCGTTGCACGGGAGTGACTAGAAAAAGGCACAAGAAGCATAGGAAGAAAACCAGACTGCAGACTACACCTGTTAGATTTACCAGCAAGGACCGGCATGTTCGTCCAACATCGAATTTGTATGATTACAGAGCATTATTATAAGTTTACAACTTACATTTATCAGTCGATAGGTTTATTGTTATGTCCTACCAAGAAAGTCGAGCCGATCTGTCTATATAGTAATGGCGATCAGACTTGACCAGATAAATGAAAGCGAACACCCTATTGGAATGTATGTGGTATTGTGGGCGGATTGGTCAAGTGGTTAACACTCCGGCCTTCCACGCAGGCGGCCGGGGTTCAACCCCCGAAGTCCTCGTACGCATGGATATTCAGAGAAAGTGTTTCTCTCCTGCCCACACAACTCCAACTAGCATTCAAGTTAGGTGGCACTATATATGATGCCATTGGAAGCACGGTCCCACTACAAACAGAACACACATTACATCTCCAGCACACACTCAGGCATACACACATAGGGAGATATTAGCCAGGTGGCATATGACTAATAGTTAGCGCCCGATAAGGCAGCTCCTGCGAATTCCTTAAAAATTGTATTAATCAATATATATGAAAATTGTATTCAATGTATATCTATGTACTGTAAAGCGCTTTAGAGTGGCTTATGTTAGCTAGATAGGGCACTATATCAAATGCTGTATATTATTATTAGTATAATGGTTTTGAACAGTGCTATGCTCATAACGTGTGGTTTCGTCTCAATTTTATTAAACCGTACCTTAATTACAACGATACTCATAGATATGTAACACTGTGTGGTAGTATACAAACTATATAACTGGGGATTCGAAAATGTTGGAAATTTTCCCAGTAATTTTAATTTTAGATGTAAATCAACAATATCACGGGTCGCTTTGAATCTGGTGTTGAATATTCTACCATATACAAACATGTTTATTATATATATTCTACCATATACAAACATGTTAATATATATATTCAACCATATCAAAATCCAATGGAATGCACTCTCGAAAATTACCTCACTGTCTTTAATTAGCTAGGCAACGTGACTAAAAATAATAGATTATTTAAGTTATGTTGTTCTTTGCACGTTGAAGAACGTTGCACGTGCTTGGTTTATTTTGCCATGCGTGATTTTCACCAATGAAAAATGTCATGACCTAGCCGATGTGATAGAATCCACCATAATACACGCACATTATGTGATAAATTCTTGAAATACCATCGATCTTGTTACGATTATTTTACTGCTCCCTAACATTGTTACACGTCTGTCGGACAGTTTTGTTATTTCAGTATGAGGAAGATACCCTGCAGTGTTTGGTAGGAACGATCTACACGGGGACCTTTACGCTGTCGACGATGATAGTGACCATAATTATGTAGTCAATGGTTGATTGATTTACTGGTTTTACATCTGCCATTGAATCCAACATATGGGTCGTGTTCGCATATCCCGGTTGAAACGGTTCAGGTGGCGCAAAAATATTCCGCTATAAACGAACGCACCGAGACTGGAACTTCAATATTAACATGTAATTTACATTCACGGGAGGTTTTTATACTTCCCTGTCAACATTTGGTTCGTGACAGGTTTAGTTCGGCGGTACCTTGTAGTTTCGTTCGAACCGAATAAAACTAGTATTTACCGTATAAATAGTTATATCTGGAACGCAGGACACTCCTGACATTTGCAGGAAAGGTAATATCTTAATAACTTAATGGTTATTTTGTGACGTTTTTGTCTTTAAACGGGCAAAACATTAAAGGCGAACCGAGAATGCAGTTTTAATTAGAATTTAATTAATATTTGATAAGTCCTTGGTTTTACTATGAACTGGTGTTTTAATAATCTTTAAAACAAACTGCGAATGAAGAGCAAACCGCTTCATTTTATATTCGTTTTTAGAGACAGACATATACGGTATATTGATTACATTGTTAGATCATAGTGGAGATGCCGACCTTCTCTTTGTTACGATTATACTAGTGAAAAAGATCTTGATACCAGACCAAAATAACAAAGAGCGTTGTACACAGGGAAAAGGTTTTCTTAATCTTTCCCTAGTAAAACGGCCTAGTTGACTGTCAGGTGAGAAGCAACCAGGATGATATGTAAACAACGGTGGCAAATTTAGGCCACACATTTTATTTTATTTGCCTGACTTTGTATCCTCGAGAACGTTCGGCCGTTTGCCATGACTAGCCCTACAATATGTTACAAATACTGTGATGGGGCCACGATTACAATACTTCACATCCGCATTTGTTTGCTTTCATGCAATAAGTCGCTCAGTGTAGTTGAACATAAAGGTTTTTGATGGTATATTAGGACGGAGTGAGAGCGCATAGTAAACTAAAGCAAACATGTTATCTCATTTCAACGACTCAATCCGCTTCTGTTTAATTCACAAGGGGAAAGTACAGCGGAGTAATCTCCCTTTGATAACGCAATATTGGCTGCGAGATGGATCATCAACTTTCATATTTTCTATGTAATAGCTACCTTGATGAACTTTTCTCTGAATAATGGCTCGACTCGCAGTAAAGTTCAAGCTGTAGAATGAACATAAGGATAGTTCTAAGGAAAATAACATGGCTATGCTCAACTACATTTGATCAAGATACACATTTCAATCACAATTAGGTTGTTGTGTTACTGGTGAGTTGCAGTTAGAACGCTATTCAGTATACAATAGTTATCTATAAAGTAGCCATCTTTCCTGATATTTGTTGGACAGTATAATCAACTTAACCTGTTTGGTTTCCTTAATACCAAATCTGTCCTTTATGTGTAATACCTAAAATGACACCCCCACCCCCAATTTTAATCATTGTTACATTCGACGAATACAATTGTAATGAAAGTGTGTTTATTTAACAAATAATACCACAATTAGCGTGTTACCGATAAACTAATTAGTTGTCCTGTTACGTTCGTCAGCACCCCTGCAGGTGAGGGATCGGGAAAAAATGTACCTGCTGTTATCTAAGGAGGCGACTAATGAACGAACCCCCTGCAAAATTGGAGATTTTCTTTGGTGTCCTATTTTTGGGGGCACAAGGGCGAGCATAATAAATCTGTTGCGTTCATTGTAATATTTGGGATCTTAAGTTTTCTTTCTTCTTCTAGCTACCATTTATTTCCCAGTGCCTTGCTTGGCAACACATCATGTTTGGCTTGAATGTTGAGCGTTCGCCCAGTTGAGGAAGGCAATGGGTTGTTCCCAGGCCGGGACATACCAAAGTCCATAAAAAACGGTAGTTGTTATTCCCAGCTTAACGTTCAGCATTTAGGGGAATAGCAACAATTGGTTTACCCGTTGTCAGTATAATGTGAACAGGAGGTGTACTGTGCTGGGTGCCTTCGGCATGGTATTTTAGTGAGAAAGCACTATAAAGTCGGCATCAATTCAATTCAACTTTGTTCTCTTTCACAAAGCATGTATATAGAGAAACATATTTACAATATAATATATAGTAATTGTAGTGTTCGTAGTCGGTAGTACACAGTACTGTTTCAAAATAAATGCACATTTGTATCAAGGAGGGCAATATTGTTATTAATTATTCTGATAAGTTTCTTCAGTGTTTTTATATTAGTAGTATTCATTTATTTATAGAACTTAATTGCATTTGGTCTCATCCAAAAGTATTTATCTATATATAAAATTCTATACCCAGACAGTGACGGACACTCAAGCACGTAATTGAATTCGTCACCAATTTGCTGACTGTTACAGTGTGGACATTTTCTTTCATTATAATCAATATCATGCTATGTGCCAGTTTCAACAATACATTTGTGATTGGTAGTCCTAAATTTACAAATTGTAACTCAATCTTTATCACTTAAAATACCTAAGTAATTTTCAAAATGACAATTATTTTCAAATATCCTATAACATGTAGCTCTTGATGAAGTGTGTACATCACTCTGCCATTTCTGTAAATACTGGTCGTGCAATATTGGTTTAATAACATGCTTTAGCCATGTGGTATACTATTCTGTAGTATATTGAACTTTCCATAAGTAACTCACCCCACATTCATTTAGAATACGTTTAATAAGGCTTTTTAATATTGTAATTCATTTAAAGAACCAGTACGACTAAATGCCGTACCCAAATAGGTAAAATTGTCCACTAAATCTATCACCACATTATTAAAGAAAAATACATTTCTATTGTTTTTACGTCCTTTACTAAATACTATACATTTTTTTCTATATTAACCTTTAATTTCTACTGTTTACAGTATTCACTGAATACATTTAATTGTAGTTGCAAGTTAACTGGACAGTCTGAGAAAAGAAGTGTATCATCAGCATAGAGGGAAATAAAAAGCTTTATGTAAACATGCAATTCACTTTCTAATTAAGTACTAGATTTGTCAATAAATATTGATTTTTATGCAAATTGAAACGTAAAATTCAATGCAAGTCAACAGCTTATCGAACTTCTTTCAAAAACGAAATCATCACATCCCATTTCAACTTCATTTTTCGTAAACTAGGCTACTAACAATTTGATATCGATTTTGGTAGGTTAGATTAAACAATATTGAATTTGGTCAAATGGGGCCTAGACGTAATACAGCATGCATGATATATTTCATTTGTGATGTGCCACCTAATCTAACGGAGTTACGTCCCTTTTATAAAAATCTTCAAAACTGAAGATACATTTGGTGGCAACTTCCGTGTATTGAAATGCAAGACGTGGCTGTCGATATTACTGCATTTTCTACCGCACTGGAGTCTACAATTCCGTAATAAGTAAAATAAAATGGTTAATGTGGTATTTCTTCACCCTGACTTAGGAATAGGAGGGGCAGAAAGGGCTGTTATTGACGCTGCACTCAGCTTGAAATCCAGAAATCATGTTGTCCACTTCGTTACGGCACATCATGATAAATCCCACTGCTTCCAGGAGACCAAAGATGGTAGTCTAGACGTGACTGCAGTTGGTGACTGGCTACCACGCAGTATTATGGGGAAATGTCATGCACTGTGTGCATATCTGCGAATGATTTATGCCGCTGTCTACTTGGTATTCTTCAGCTCACTGCAGTACGATATCGTATTTTGTGATCAAATCTCTGCATGTATTCCAGTACTAAAATTCTCCAAAGCAAGAATTCTGTTTTATTGCCATTTCCCTGACATGTTGCTGACAAAAAGGAAGGGCGCGTTAAAGAGACTGTATAGGGCTCCGATAGATTGGTTAGAAGAGAAAACAACGGGAATGGCAGACTGTGTGTTGGTAAACAGCAGATTTACGGGTATGTCTTTCATGTGAATTTGTGGTTAACATGCAAAAATATCATTAAAAACATGATGAAATGTCAATGTACGGTAAAATGATAACTGTTGAATGGAAGCCGGCCAAGGCTGGATAATGTTTATGATGTATCTCCTTGATGATACTGGGCTAACACAACTGGTCACGTTTCCTACCTGTAATAACAATATATTAGATCTCATAATTGTAAATACCCCAAACCAAGTACAGAGAATTTAGGCAATTCCTGGTTTATCTGACCATGATATTTTGTTCCTCCAAATTTCCAGTGTTCCCCACAAAATTAACCAAAAACCCAGAGAAATACCCTTGTATAAAAAGGCCAATTGAAATTCCATGAGAAGTGAACTCCACAACCTCTATCTAGAAATCTCAACCAATAAAGTCCTAACTGTAGAGGCATTATGGGAAGCATTCAAACTATTTACCAAAGATCGTTGGCAAACATGTCCCACACAAAGTGGCAAAAAAAACACCATGGGTGACACATGAAATGAAAAAGTTGATAAAAAAAGAAACAGACTACCGGTATATAAACAAGCAAAAAAGTCTGGTAATCCATCAATTAAAGAAAAATTCAAGTCACTGAAACATATTATTCAAAAACTATTAAGACAGGCCTACCGGAAATATATTAAAGACATAGGCCGTCCAAATTCAAATTCATTTGACTATAAACCTATGAAAAGGTTCTGGACATATATAAAACACCAAAAAACTGACTACAGTGGTGTAGGGGCACTGAAACAAAATGGTAAACTTCATACAGATCCTATGGATAAGGCCAATATATTGAACAATCAGTTCCAGTCTGTGTTTTCCAGTGCTGACAACATTAGCTCAGACACATTTAAGCAGCAATACCCTATGCAGAACAACATCCCTGAGATGGGTAACACCCAATGGAATTTATAAACTTCTTTGTAATCTAGACACCTCTAAAGCTGCTGGCCCAAATCATATCAAACCGAATGTACTCAAGGAACTGGCAAAAGAAATCTCCCCCATTCTCTGTCTCATCTTCCAAATATCGTTAGATACCGGTCATGTTCCATCTGACTGGAGAACAGCTAACATTGCCCAAGTTTACAAAAAAGGCCAAAAATTTAACTTGAAAACTACCGTCCCATATCTCTCACTTGTACTTGTAAGTTGTTGGAACATATTATAGTAAGTAACATCATGAATCATATGCATGCTGATAACAACATTCTTTACCCCTTACAACATGGTTTTAGACAATCCAGGTCATGTGAGAGTCAACTTTTAGAATTTATTGATGGCATCTCGAGAAATTTAGAAGATGGTAAACAGACAGATGTATTCATTTTGGATTTTAGTAAGGCCTTTGATAAGGCAAGCCATTCTCTCCTTATCCACAAACTTAGGGGGTATGGAATTACTAGACCAGTCAACACTTGAGGGCTTCCTAAGTGACAGAACCCAGACTGTTGTAGTAGAGGGGGAAATGTCTGATTCTGCCCCAGTAAGATCAGGGGTCCCCCAAGGCTCGGTCCTTGGACCGAGTCTTTTCTTATACTACATCAATGATATCACTGAGTGTATAACATCTTCTATCAGACTCTTTGCAGATGATACCATCATGTATCTGACAGTAACATCTCAAGAGAGACGCTTGAACCCTACAAAAAGATCTTGATAAACTGGCACTTTGGGAGACTAAATGGAGGATGGCTTTCCACCCTGAGAAATGCCAGGTCCTCTCTGTCACCATAGACATCCCATCTGTCACCCTACATACTACATGGTCACAAGTTGGAGCATGTGACAGAGACTAAATATCTTGGGGTCACCATTACTTCTGATCTCAAGTGGAGTACTTATATCGATAATATCAAAAAAAAGGCCTATAAGTCCCTGGTCCGCCCTCAGGTTAAATACACTAGCCCAGTATGGGACCCTTATGATATAGACAAGCTAGAGATGGTACAGCGCAGGGCTGCTCGTTTCGTTGCCAACCGCTATCGTAACACCTCCAGCGTTGGCAACATGTAAGAACACCTAAAATGGCGTAGCCTTGCAGATTGCAGGAGAGACTGACCATGCTCTATAAAATCCATCATAATAAAGTTGCCATTGCCACTAAATATCTCACCGCTATAACCAGACAAACAAGGCATAGTCATCAAACCTCATTTCAAACTATCTCATGCAGGACGTCTGTAAAGAAGGAATCATTCTTTCCTCAGACTATCAAAGATTGGAACAAACTCCCTTCTCAAATTATTTCTTCTGATTCAATACTGTCCTTCAAATCAGCTATCTCTGCTCTTCAATATTAAGTTCTGTTCCTTTCCTTTCATAGCGCTACACCTATATATGACATGATCTTCACTATGCTGAAGTAGGTCATCAGATGGTAGAAGTAGAGAGAAGCCTTGAGTTCAAGTTAGCTCCCTTTGCTTGTGTGGAAATTTATCCTCCTTTCATTTGAATATATGTTACATTTTAAACTCAAATATCTAAATAAATGGAAACAAGCATTAGTAATTAAAGTGGTGTAAACTTAGTGTTTAAGTAGATATTTGTCTTTCCTTATCAGCCAATATGCATATTAGCTTGGCACCTATTTGAGAAGTCCGAATGATTCTGACGTTTTATCGACTTTTTTTTATTTCAGTCTGTTGTCGATTAATCGCCGACAGACCAATATTAAAAAAGTCAATAAAACGTCAGAATAATTCGGACTACTATTTGAGATGACCTTTTTATAACCTAGACATGAAGATCTCAGTGACCTAAATATAGTGCAATGCACATCCATATACTTCAGGTTTCATCAAAATATCTTTATTATAACAGTTCAAAGTTAAACTAGTTTATGACCTGAATAACTTTTCACTTAAAATTTTGCACTTAATTTACCTTTGACCTTGAGGTTAAGGTCATTGACCCCTAGTTATAGTATACTGCACACCTTGAGTGGTTAAGCAGGTATACTTCATGTTTATCTAGATATCTTTGACAGTTTAAAAGTTATGGCTTGGACAAGATTTAATTATTAGATGAACCAGAAGGAAAACAAGTATTGATATACAATATGTCATTCAAAGGAGAGACATATTAGCTATTTCCAGTAAAACAAACTCCCGAAGAACATGTACTTATTGTTTGATCTCCTTTAAGTGTCTTGTGATATCATTAACACATACATCACAGGATCTAATAAAGTGAACAATCAATGTAAAATGTGTTTTAAGCTAATGATGATTTTTGAAATGGTTTTCATCTATTTATGGCAATTTTTCATAACCGGTATCTATATGAGATATTTATAGTTTATATTAAGAAATCCTTAACTTTCTATAAATACTATAAGTGAGAGGTAAATATAAGCTTAAGTCCTTGAATAATGCACACTATAATTGCAGTTGTTTGTATGATCAATGCTTTAAACTATTGACATGGAACTCATTTCGTAATACGGAAAATGATTTTCACATTTTATTATATTTTTTTATACAGCTGGGATCTTTAAAGAGACATTTACATCACTTGTCCGGACAACTCCAGAGGTACTATACCCAATACCTGATTTCTCTGCATTAGACAAGCAAGCACCTCCACCTACAGGAGACCTCTTGCCTCAGAATGCATCCACAATCTTTCTCTCCATCAACCGATATGAAAGGAAGAAAAATCTCTCTCTTGCTATTGATGCTCTTGGTAAGAAAGATTTCTTCATTTCTAACATATCATTGTCAAGTAAGATGCATTAAAATTCATTTTGAGTTGACAACTTGACAATATAATATATTTGATGATCTGGATACAAACAAGTATATACCAATATATTTCACATTGTGATGAATATCAAATATAATATTCCACAATCAAATCTCAGTCTGGCCAATTGCATTTGTACTCTCAGAACATTGTTGATATTTCATTGATGTTTATTTCATTTTCATAAAAGGTCTGTAAGATATATTTTTCTTTTCAAAAAAGATGTATCAAAGCTATATTCATTGTATAACGGGGATCCTAAAGGATACTCATTGTATAACAGGGATCCTAAAGCATACTCATTGTATAACAGGGATCCTAAAGCATACTTCTTGTATAACAGATTGAAAACAAATGAAAGTACTTTTGAATGTGTTGTGCTTGTACATGAGATGTGATATTAAGATTGTATTTGATTTTCCAGCCTGTTTAAAGGAAGCCAACGGGAAAAGACTTAACAGTATTCACCTTGTTATGGCAGGCGGATATGATGAAAGAGTTGTAGAAAACAGAGAATATTATCTGGAACTCAAACAAAGAGCAGATGATGCTGGGATAGCAGAAAATGTCACTTTTATTCGCTCATTCAGTGATGCACAAAAAAGGACCCTGCTCCATAACTGTAGTTGCCTTCTATACACACCAGACAGGGAACATTTTGGTATTGTACCGATAGAGGCTATGTACCTGAAATGTCCAGTGATCGCAGTTAAAAGTGGCGGTCCCTTGGAAACTGTTGGTCATGAGACCACGGGATTTCTATGTAAACAGAATGATGAAGAATTTGCTTCAGCCATGATGCAATTTATCAAAAATAAAGACTTGCACACAAAAATGGGGGAGGCTGGTAGGAGCAGAGTGCTGGAACTATTTTCTTTCGAGGCATTTACAAATCAACTTGAAGGTGTTGTGAAAAAGCTGTCTGCTCAAGGTCCACGTCAAACACTGACATTATCTCTGATGTGGACAATGGCTTTTGTCTGTGTGTTAGGTCTACTGTTAGTATACATACTGTTTTGATCATTTGTTTTGTAATCAAGTGATAATTGTCTACACCATTGAAATAGCCTGCATACACACAGTATCGTAGGGACCAAAACATTTCGAAGTTACTCTTGAAATGGAATCTTAACAAATATATTTGGTACAATACATGTAACTTGGTGCATTTAGATTAAACATAACAAAAAAAAAAAAAAAACAAGTTAACATCAAAACCTTGTTTCCAAAAAAGATGAGAAGTTAATAAATTCAACAGTTTAAATAGTAAATCTAATGTGTACATCTTTTTACAAGAATTACATACCAGTTGATGTATATTAGACATTTATTTATTTACAAATTATATGTACATTAAAAAAACAATTTCATCCTAGTTTTGCTTTCTTCCACAATGGCTCATCATCATCATCATCCTTCTTCTCCTCCTCAACCTCTTGGAATATCCTCACAGGCTGATTTCTAGAAAAAAATATGTTTTTGTCAAATTTGGATGAGTTGTGTATCATTGATATCAGCAAATAATAAATTGAGTTTTATAAGGTGGTACCTGTCTATCATTGCATTCTCATAGTATTTGACAAAAATATAGTAAAAACTACACTTTGAGAATAAACAGTAGCTCTAGTATTGACACTCTACTGTTTCTGAAACATCAATTAACATTTCTTGGACTAATGCTGTTTGTTTTGGCAGCCTATTTGAGAAAAGAACTTTAAGGTGTGGTTGAGAATATTTTATGAAAATATTAACATTAAGGTATATTAGATACACATAGAATATTTGGCATACTAGAACAATTATTACATAACAGTTCCTTTTCGAAATTTATTGACCGACCAGTCACCCAAAATAGTTAAAATGACCACAGCCCAACTTCAAATTACTACGTACTTTTGTTAAATACTGTTAAAAAAGACTGGAAAATCATTATTATTTTACATGAAAGCATACCAGAGGTTATGCATGAGGTGCATATGTCGCCCCTATATATTGAGAGAAATCTTGAAAGCTCTTACTTTTTGTATGCTGGTTCCACCCAGAATGGGTTTTCCTCTGCTTCTTTTGCATGGCGTAGAATGGCCTCCCTTGGATCATTTTCATATTTATCAGGTTTTCTAAGGACAAGATTTTGGACCACATACTGAGAGAGAGTTGCTCCCCTTTGGGCAACACGACCACCTTCACCTAAGATCGAAAATATCATTTTGAACAGAGGTTAGGTAAGAATCTGGTGCTATATTCAACATTTTACTTTCATGTACTCAACACTATCTGGTCACCATGATTTTGTTTGATATTGATGTTGATTTAAATATATGAGTACCTGAATTTCTCCCATAATAGATAAAAACAAATTGGTTACAAGTGAGCAAAATAATACAAAACCTGGTAAATTAAAGATTTTTTTAAGCAAGAAATAATGATTCAGTGAAGTAACAAGAAAAAAGATTTTACCTGGCCCAGTGATGGGGAGGTCAGGTCTCCTAGATTTAACAGGGTCCTTCCTAACCCGCTCCTCTGCTTTACGCGTACTTGTTGGGCGGCCCTCACGGAACATTGGCAGAGCATAGGCTGTAATATATGTGGACAATACACTGAGTACATTGTTTAATATGATATCGCACATAATTATAAAACACAGTATAAAGTCTGTCGTTATATAATGCATCAACTGATCTTAGAAAGATCATCCACTACAATTTAGAAAGATTACCATGTTTGTCTGCGATGTGGGTTGTTTTGATGCTGTAGGCTTTGTAGAGGCCATATACTGGAGTGACCTATATCTGCCCTTCATCCACATTTCAAGGTAACCATACTTCATTTTCAACACATCTAAACATCACATCTTAATTACGTTTGATTTGTGTATTAATTTGTTTTTAAGATCTCATAAAAAGGGTTAGGATCATAATAAGATCACTTCCACATCTAACCAATATCAACCTTCGACCCATATCAACCTAATTAAGGTCCTCTGGCCTCTTAGGCTGGTTTTGGGTTACAGAGTAGGATATAGAAACGGTATATGATATATAACAGATAATTCTCTTCAATAAAACAAAAGTCTACACTGATAAAACACTCACGTGTTATAATTTGTTGGGTGGTCATCACTTTAATCTGTCTGCTTTTTCTTTCTGATTTCACAACACTCAACATTGCACCTCTGTAAAGTCACAAAATCATAACATTCAATGATACACATAAGGAAGATATGGTCTGGAAACCTTCTTATTTTAGCAAATTTCAATTAATGTGTATTATCAAATTTTAACAGATTGGTGCCTTGATGAACTGGCACACAATGATAATAGAAAATACATGTAATACATGTAATACACAGAAATTTAATTTACAAAATCATAAATTTAAAGCACAAGAAGCGTTAAAGAAAAGATTACTGTTAAGATATATATATATAGGTTTATAGTTTGACTAACGTACCTATGAGTATTTCTAACACTAGAATTGGAATATCTTAAAAAGAAAAAACTGAGGTGACACTACCGTGCCTCTCTCCAAGACATTACAGATATTTTTTAAATGTTTGACTATCATACACAATTTTACTGATAATGTTAAAATGATTTCAAACATGTGTTAGTTGTATTGATGCTTTGAAAGAGACGTGAAGGCGTCTATCCAGATTGGAGTCTAATGAGACAACCTCAATCAGAATACTTGGAGACACCTGTTATCCCTAGTCTGCATCGCTCATTTCTGATCAACTTCTGGAAGAGAACCTTTCTAGATGGATTCCAAACTGCTGCATCTTGACATCTAGTGGCAGTCGAGAGAGAAAGCCCAGGGTACGGATTGAAACATCTAGTGGCAGTCGAGAGAGAAAGCCTAGGGTACAGATTGAAACATCTAGTGGCAGTCGAGGGAGAAAGCCCAGGGTACGGATTGACACCTAGTGGCAGTCGGGAGAGAAAGCCCAGGGTACGGATTGAAACATTTAGTGGCAGTCGAGAGAGAAAGCCCAGGGTACAGATTAAAACATCTAATGGCAGTCGAGAGAGAGAGCCCAGGGTACGGATTAGACATCTAGTGGCAGTCGAGAGAGAAAGCCCAGGGTACGGATTGACATCTAGTGGCAGTCGAGAGAGAAAGCCTAGGGTACAGATTGAAACATCTAGTGGCAGTCGAGAGAGAGAGCCCAGGGTACGGATTAGACATCTAGTGGCAGTTGAGAGAGAAAGCCAAGGATACGGATTGACATCGAGTGGCAGTCGAGAGAGAAAAGCCCAGAGTACGGATTGACATCTAGTGGCAGTCGAGAGAGAAAGCCCAGGGTACGGATTGACATCTAGTGGCAGTCGGGAGAGAAAGCCCAGGTTATGGTCGGCAGTCGAGAAAAAGCCCAGGGTACGGATTGAAACATCTAGTGGCAGTCGAGAGAGAAAGCCAAGGGTACAGATTGAAACATCTAGTGGCAGTCGAGAGAGAAAGCCCAGGGTATGGTCGGCAGTCGAGAGAGAAAGCCCAGGGTATGGATTGACATCTAGTTGCAGTCGAGAGAGAAAGCCTAGGGTACAGATTGAAACATCTAGTGGCAGTCGAGAGAAAAAGCCCAGGGTACGGATTAGACATCTAGTGGCAGTCGAGAGAGAAAGCCCAGGATACGGATTGACATCTAGTGGCAGTCGAGAGAGAAAAGCCCAGGGTACGGATTGACATCTAGTGGCAGTCGAGAGAGAAAGCCCAGGGTACAGATTGACATCTAGTGGCAGTCGAGAGAGAAAGCCCAGGGTACGGATTGAAACATCTAGTGGCAGTTGAGAGAGAAAGCCCAGGGTACGGATTGACATCTAGTGGCAGTCGAGAGAAAATCCAGGGTACAGATTGACATCTAATGGCAGTCGGGAGAGAAAGCCCAGGGTATGGTCGGCAGTCGAGAGAGAAAGCCCAGGGTACGGATTGAAAGATCTAGTGGCAGGCGGGGGAGAAAGCCCAGGGTACGGATTGAAACATCTAGTGCCAGTCGAGAGAGAAAGCCCAGGGTACGGATTGAAACATCTAGTGCCAGTCGAGAGAGAAAGCCCAGGGTACGGATTGACATCTAGTGGCAGTCGAGAGAGAAAAGCCCAGGGTACGGATTGACATCTAGTGGCAGTCGAGAGAGAAAAGCCCAGGGTACGGATTGACATCTAGTGGCAGTCGGGAGAGAAAGCCCAGGATACGGATTGAAACATCTAGTGGCAGTCGGGAGAGAAAGGCCAGGGTACGGATTGAAACATCTAGTGGCAGTCGGGAGAGAAAGCCCAGGGTACAGATTGAAATATCTAATGGCAGTCGGGAGAGAAAGCCCAGGGTACGGATTGAAACATCTAGTGGCAGTCGAGAGAGAAAGCCCAGGGTACGGATTGAAACATCTAGTGGCAGTCGGGAGAGAGAGCCCAGGGTACGGATTGAAACATCTAGTGGCAGTCGGGAGAGAAAGCCCAGGGTACGGATTGAAAGCTCTATTAGCCTTTACCCTTAATTTATGTTTTGGTCTGTGTTATTTTTTTTTGGAACATGTTTTAGTATCACAGTATTCTATCAATGATACAGACATAAAATATCAGTATATTATCAGTAAATCTACCAAAACCACTGGCAGTCGCAGACAAAATATAGGATTTCCATGTTTTGGTTTCTTTCTTCATGACTGAAGTGTAACAAAGACTCACCTTTGACTTTTTTTTGGATCGTAGAAAAGTCTGACTTGGCCGTCTGCACAGCCAACGACCATCTGATTGAGCTTTGGGTGCCATAGACAACGCACAACACTCTGTATAATGCAACACAAAAGTACAAAATGAAATTGGATTTTAGGATGGAGATTCGAAAGGAGAAAATTACCATCATCAAATACAGTAGTTCTGGATTCTCAGTAATCTGGCTTAAATCTTCCAACAAAGTTGCTTCCTACATGTTATCAACCTGGAATTTGTGAAAACAAAAATTCTTTCATAGGCATCAGCAATCTTTCATATACTGTAAACCTGAAAATCTCCCTCAATCTAACTTTCACCCTTTACCTATAAATTTGATATTTTCATACAATTGTATGCTGTTCACTAATATTTGCTCATAATTAATTTGCCCTCAATATACTGTATACATTTTTTTTACCCTAATCAGAACCCTTAGAACACATCAAGCTTTTTCATGGGTCAAAATTGGGTGAAAATAGTTTTTGATTAAAGAATAAAACATGAAGATAAACTTGCCAGTTCCCTCTCATTATAAGGCATTGATCTCGTAAATGATCTCGCAAATGAATACTCCATCGAAGAGGAATAACTTACCGAGTCGGATATTTCAAGTTCTGACAGCTTGGTTAGTGTGTTTCGTTCATAAAAGAGTAACTTCCCCTTGCCAGTATTCTTCTTAACTGAAAGTCCTGTGATAATCATTTGATCATCTGGACTGAAAACACAATCTGTGCTGTAAAATAAAAGTAAAATTAGTTTTCCGTGGCAGATCAAAATAAGGATAAATCATCCACACAAAACATTAAGATATTTTGTTTAAATACATAACTTTTATATGCTAATTCAACATAATCATGACAAACCATATCAAGGGTAGATTTTCACTCATACAAACTCCATACAAACCCAACACCAACTCATGAAAATGACAAAGAAACTACATTCAATGTACAAACTACATACAATGTACAAACTCATTCAAAATACATACATGTACAAAATATTTTAAAACATACAAATTACAAACTTCATACAGATAACCAGTAGAATTAGTAGAAGCGTCAATAGTAGTCGAAGACTAATTGTATTACGTCGACAACGGTGAGTTAACAGTGAGTTAACAACAAATTAAACACAAACTGAATTCCACACAAAGCCATAAATACAACGAACACACAAATTCACACAACTTGTGAACAACAACACAAACTACATAAATTACACTAGGTACTTTATTTGTGTTCAGCTATGACTAAGGGGAAAATATTGATTTTAAAGTTTATATTACTTTTTTCACTTGCTATTCTGTAATAATATTTATAGGTCAATGGTTAAGGTTCCTAGATGTAAGGAAATAATTTTTGTTCTTACAAAGAGAAGAAGTTGTCAAGATCATTCACAACATTGAGAGGCTTCTTGAAGTTGCGGATATCCCAGGTTTTCAGGGTATCATCCCCTGTAATTAGAGGCACAATGTAAGTAACTATCAAAGGGAACAGATCACACTGGATGTCATACAGTCAAACATGTGTTATGTGAAATCCTCAGGATTCACCGAGTTAAAATATAGTGATAAACTGCTCTGAAGCCAAATAATGAATATATCTAAGTCTGGAATAACAGATGAAATGACATATGTCTCATTAACCTATCAAAAGCTGGGCGTGCAAAAGTCCTGATGCTCCCATTGGTCACGTTGGTTATGCGGTTTTTATCATTGATTAACTTTACTCAGTTATTGCTGTCAAGAACATGCTGATCAACATCCTTGACATCAACTCTATGCTTATTTCTCTTGATGATTATTTTAAAAATAATCTTCAGTTACATATCACTGTACATGTGTACAACTATAATTTCGTTATAAATGTCTTAAAGTGTAAATATATTTGTGTTACCTCCCCTTGATGCCAGTATCTGTCCGCAGTAGCTGAAGCAGAGACATGACGTATCGCTGCCATTCATGTGACAATTCCTGTTCACCATGGAAACATTCACCTACAATAAACAAACACAAACATTGATGAACCTTTCCAAGCATAAATTTTCTTCACAATGACCCCTATCTAAATACCATAAATATTTGCGTATAGTGCACTTGGGGGAAATGATAATCTCAAGAAAAGGGTGCCCACTATACATAGGAACAATCCAAAACCAGTCCTGGGTCACGACCATTTATCATAAATATATGAAAATCTTTTTATACTCATAGAATCATTGAGTGAAAAATCGCTAACAGTGATCATACAATTCTGTGAAAGTTGTCTTTCAGACAGGTTAGGATTACTAGTTAGGGTCAAAGTAAAAGTTGAAAACTACTGATAAGGAATCACAAAATCAAAACAATAATGGTCTTCCTCATACTGGGGTGATAATTTTTGTCCAAAAATACTCAAACAACAAAGGTTGGTCAATCAAATTTAAATTCAATTGTGATGTCACTGCAGGAACATATCAACTTATTTTCATAAAGGAACTATTTCATCTACTATTTAACACAAAACGTGTATATTATTTGGCTGCAGAACTGTTCATATTTGCCTGAAATCACTGTCTTCATGCCTTCAAAGTCGACCGTCACTACATAGAGCATCATTACATATACATTACTACATATACCTGGTAAAAAATCATTCTGAAAGTGATCCTGATAAGACAGAATGTGATAATGAACTCAGAAGGTGAGGCACTAAGATTTTAACTGTATACATACAAAGGACTTGTTATGGTCCCATATCTGTATAGAGCCATCTTGGCATGCTGTCGCCACCCAGCGGCCATCTTTGCTGTAGGTGCAGGTGGTGGGGACAGTTTTACGTCCTAACTGGGTCCGTGGTTTGAGAACTGTCTTGTGTTTCTTTCCTTCCATATTCACATCCCATAACCTGACAGTGCTGTAAGGGTAAAACAATTATATTAATACTGAACAATTGTTGAATACTTCTTTGAAACATGTATATATTGAAGACTGAAAATGAATATCTTTTCGCATGTATTATGGTATGCAACACAATTCAATACCAGATATGAAAAATATGTTTTAATCTGTATACTTACATTCTAAATGACAAAGGAAATTGTATTTCTCCATTCATGACGCATTTTAAACACATTATTTTACCAAATACATGAAGGAACAGCCATTTTTACTGAAACAAGGTCATGCTTCCTTTGGTTACCTGTTCTGTCAGGCGAAAAATACCAATCAGACACTATCTAGGAATCTCCATCCTAAAAGTGAATTTGATGTAACATCATTGGCTGGTTCCCAATTACTCTGTATATCCTTTGAACCACAGAAGACAGTTAACATTATAATAAATACAACCATGTCGTGTAATATGAACCCTTATATTACAAATATTCCAACCGTAAGAAAAAATTTCAATTTAAGTTCAACACTGTGTTACCTTAAGAAACTTCTGATAATGAAATTTTCTGAAAATTGCTCTATGTTTAGATGTATCTGAAGTAAAATAGTTTTGTCAAGGAGAATTTTTGCTGAAATTCTTCATTCACTTTCGGTACTTACCCGTCATTGGAACAGGTCATAAATTCTTCCCTTGTTTTAGGATGCCAGCATCCTGAGTTCAACATAGCTGAATGTCCCTGAAATGACAGCATATTAGAGTATCCAGCGGTATTTCTGTGAAGTTTGGTGAGTACCTGTCGTCTGATTTTACTCTCATCAAATTCATTCTTGGAAGAGAGTGGCAATGATTTGGAATACTTTATTTTTTAATGGGGAATATCGGTAATAAAAGTCCTTCTACTGTATTTGACCTCAAATAAGCCTCCTCTCAACTTTGGCAAATGTCCTGGGAACAGGGTGGCTGCCTGCAATTAAGCCCCCTCCCTAATTGTCTCTCTTACAAAAAAAAAGAGTTAATTTTTGTCTCCGAACATAAGCAAATTAGTTAACTGGTTGCAATAAAAAATTAACCAAAGTTAAAACTCTGCAAATAATTATGTCACTGAATTGTACCATAGTAAATACTATAGTGTCATGTACTCTACTGTGATTCTGTATTGGTTTTTAATAAAGCAATTTGTAATTATGTATTCATTAATTAACTAAGGAATATGGATGAATATTATAACAAATTATAACAGAAAATGATATAAACATAACAAAATATCAAGACATCATCTAGATGGTTGAACTTAAAATAAAACATCGTTCTGTTGCTGAAAGAACACCATGCTTTCGTTTTATAAGGGTTGTGTGTTTTGCAGATTTTAATCTGAAACGAAACATTTGTCTTTACTGTAAAATTATCTTTGCTAATTACAGGTATCTTTTTTTAATCTTGAATATTCCATACCTTTGTGTTGGACATGTCTAAGAGATATCGGTCTCCCTTTAACTTATTACATACCTTTGTGTTGGACATGTATGGGTCTCCCTTTAACTTATTCCATACCTTTGTGTTGGACATGTCTGGGGGTCCCTTTAACTTATTCCATACCTTTGTGTTGGACATCTCTGGGTCCCCCTTTAACTTATTACATACCTTGGGTTGGACATGTCTAAGAGATATGGATTTCCCGTTAACGTATTACATACCTTTGTGTTGGACACGTCTGGGTCTCCCTTTAACTTATCCCATACCTTTGTGTTGGACATGTCCGGGTCTCCCTTTAACTTATTACATGCCTTGTGTTGGACATGTCTAAGAGATACGGGTCTCGCTTTAACTTATTCCTTTCCTTGTGTTGGACATGTCTGGGTCTCCCTTTACCTTATTACATACCTTGTGTTGGACATGTCTTGGTCTCCCTTTTACTTATTACATACCTTGTGTTGTACATGTCTAAGAGATACGGGTCTCGCTTTAACTTATTCCTTTCCTTGTGTTGGACATGTCTGGGTCTCCCTGTAACTTATTCCATACCTTTGTGTTTGACATGTCTGGGTCTCCCTTTAAATTATTCCATACCTTTGTGTTGGACGTGTCTGGGTCTCCCTTTAACTTACTTTTACTTATTACATACCTTTGGGTTGGACATGTCTGGGTCTCCCTTTACCTTATTACATACCTTTGTGTTGGCCATGTCTAAGAGATATGGATCTCCCGTTAACTTATTACATACCTTTGTGATGGACATGTCTGGGTCTCCCTTTACCTTATTACATACCTTTGTGTTGGTCATGTCTAAGAGATATCAGTATCCCTTTTACTTATTACATACCTTGTGTTGGCCATGTCTAAGAGATATGGATCTCCCGTTAACTTATTACATACCTTTGTGATGGACATGTCTGGGTCTCCCTTTAAATTATTCCATACCTTTGTGTTGGACATTTCTGGGTCTCCCTTTTACTTATTACATACCTTTTGTCTAAGAGATATCGGTCTCCCTTTAACTTATTCCATGCCTTTGTGTTGGACATGTCTGGGACTACCTTTAACTTATTCCATACCTTTGTGTTTGACATGTCTGGGTCTCCCTTTAAATTATTCCATACCTTTGTGTTGGACATCTCTGGGTCCCCCTTTAACTTATTACATACCTTTGTGTTGGCCATGTCTAAGAGATATGGATCTCCCGTTAACTTAAGCCATATCTTTGTGTTGGACATGTCTGGGTCTCCATTTAACTTATTCCATACCTTTGCGTTGGACATGTCTGGGTCTCCCTGTAACTTATTCCATACCTTTGTGTTTGACATGTCTGGGTCTCCCTTTAAGTTATTACATACCTTGTGTTGGACCTGTCTAAGAGATATGGATTTCCCGTTAACGCATTACATACCTTTGTGTTGGACACGTCTGGGTCTCCCTTTAACTTATTGCATACCTTTGTGTTGGACATGTCTAGGTCTCCCTTTAACTTATTCCATGCCTTTGTGTTGGACATGTCTGGGTATCCCTTTAACTTATTACATACCTTGGGTTGGACATGTCTAAGAGATACAGGCCTCCCTTTTACTTATTACATACCTTTGGGTTGGACATGTCTAAGAGATATGGGCCCCCCTTTAACTTATTATATACCTTTGTGTTGGAGATGTCTGGGGCTCCCTTTAACTTATCTCATACCTTTGTGTTGGACATGTATAAGAGATACAGGGCTCCCTTTTACTTATTTCATACCTTTGTGTTGGACATGTATAAGAGATACAGGGCTCCCTTTTACTTATTTCATACCTTTGTGTTGGACATGTCTGGTGCTCCCTTTAACTTATTACATACCTTGGGTTGGACATGTCTAAGAGATACAGGCCTCCCTTTTACTTATTACATACCTTGTGTTGTACATGTCTAAGAGATACGGGTCTCGCTTTAACTTATTCCTTTCCTTGTGTTGGACATGTCTGGGTCTCCCTGTAACTTATTCCATACCTTTGTGTTTGACATGTCTGGGGCTCCCTTTAACTTATCTCATACCTTTGTGTTGGACATTTCTAAGAGATATGGGTCTCCCTTTTACTTATTTCATACCTTTGTGTTGGACATGTCTAGGTCTCCCTTTAACTTATTCCATTTCTTTGTGTTGGACATTTCTAAGAGATACGGGTCTCCCTTTAACTTATTCCATGCCTTTGTGTTGGACATGTCTAGGAGATATGGGTCTCCCTTTAACTTACTCCATACCTTTGTGTTGGACATGTATAAGAGAGACATGTCTAAGAGATATCGGTCTCCCTTTAACTTATTCCATGCCTTTGTGTTGGACATGTCTAGGTCTCCCTTTAACTTATTACATGCCTTGTGTTGGACATGTCTAAGAGCTACAGGTCTCCCTTTTACTTATTCCATACCTCTGTGTTGGACATGTCTGGGTCTCCCTTTAATTTATTCCATACCTTTGTGTTGGACATCTCTGGGTCCCCCTTTAACTTATTACATACCTTTGTGTTGGACATGTCTGTGTCTCCCTTTTACTTATTCCATACCTCTGTGTTGGACATGTCTGGGTCTCCATTTAACTTATTCCATACCTTTGCGTTGGACATGTCTGGGTCTCCCTTTAAATTATTCCATACCTTTGTGTTGGACATTTCTAAGAGATATGGATCTCCCGTTAACTTATTACATACCTTTGTGATGGACATGTCTGGGTCTCCCTTTAAATTATTCCATACCTTTGTGTTGGACATGTATAAGAGAGACATGTCTAAGAGATATCGGTCTCCCTTTAACTTATTCCATTTCTTTGTGTTGGACATTTCTAAGAGATATGGATCTCCCGTTAACTTAAGCCATATCTTTGTGTTGGACATGTCTAAGAGATATCGGTCTCCCTTTAACTTATTCCATTTCTTTGTGTTGGACATTTCTAAGAGATATGGATCTCCCGTTAACTTATTCCATACCTTTGTGTTGGACATGTCTAAGAGATACGGGTCTCGCTTTAACTTATTCCTTACCTTGTGTTGGACATGTCTGGGTCTCCCTTTAACTTATCTCATACCTTTGTGTTGGACATGTCTAAGAGATACGGGTCTCCCTTTGCACACTCCATTTTCTCAAAGCCATCCCGATCCAGGACCTTGGCCTTGTTGTTACCAGACACAACCAATATGGTGTCACCTGTAGAACTATACTGTAACTGCTTGATAGGGTGACTGAGGATTCAAAATAAAACAAACATTTCAATGATTTCAAGAAAAAATATTATAAAAGGAAGAACATTGATGATAAAATGTTTGATAAAAATCTTTACAACAAATTTTTATCAAAAAATAGAAAAGACTCAAGTTGGTTCTCTAAACTCAGAATGACCTTTTATGTACAAGCTATTTTACTTTAAACTGTGGAATGTGGGTGGGGGACAGCACATGGGAAGAGTCGAGAATGATTTTTTAAAACAAAGGAGGTCACCTAATTTGTTTATTTACTGTATGGACAAAGTCTGAACATTTCTTTCATACAAAAAAATGTATCCTGGCATAAATTGTGAATGTCAATATTTTCACTGAGTTATCAATGATTTGGAAGCAAATAAAATACAAAAATACAAAGTTCTTATTATAACTGAAGTGTCAATGCCTCAATTTGCCATCACATTTGTTTTTAATTCAGCAGAATTGGATAAACCAAAAAATTCATCTTCTCACCATTATTTACTATGTTATCCTTGGGTAAGAAAACTACAGGTGATGTAGTGTGTTTTATAAAATTGTAAACAAACTAATAGGTAGAAACCAACACTTTTTGTCAGAACCCTATGTCTTAAGATGATGTTCCTATCCTGTTTCACCAGCGTTCACCTATACAATCAGAATTTCTAACAATAGAAACATCTATTATCTCTGTAATTTTCTATAACAAGCATGTCTTTGATGTAGACATATGAAAGATGGGCTGACTGACATACCATTCACAAGGTATGATTGACCTAAATTAGGCTGACATACCATTCACAAAGTCTGACTGACCTAAATGATAGGCTGACTGACATACCATTCACAAGGTCTGATTGACCTAAAAGATTTTAATGAGGTGTCCATTCCAGCAAAATCCCAGAACTTCATTTCATAGTCGACACCCCCAGTGACCAGCCTCGCCCCCGAGGGATCCAATGCTAGGGCAGATACCTGTAGATACAACATACAGTGTGTACTGTGGTGCAAATACCATTATAAATTAAGAATGTGTCATGCTGTCCTGAATTGGGTTTAGATAAATAATTAACAAATTTCATAAAAAGTAAAACTTTATTTAATATAGCTTATCTAGACAAAATAGAGTCTTTCATATTGGAAAAGAAAACAATGCTTGAGGAAATAAATGATCTGTTTCTCTCAACACAATCTCGATTTCAAGGGAGATAATTCAGTATAATTTGTGAATTTTTCACTGATATCATAGTGCTCCACTTTTACACAAACCTATTGAATCAAAAAGCAGACTGTAAAATAAAAATTGAACTAAAAAAAATATTTTCTGGGTTGTTTCAGAATTTATTTATAATTGCCTACACAGAAATATGACATTTTTTAAATGATACACTTACAGGTTTGACTCCATGGTTCAGTAAAATTTCATGGCTCGATGGAATTTTACTAATCAAACTCTGAAAAAAATAACAAAAAAATCCTTAACTAATTATACTACATTTCAGCAGTTTGGCTGATATAAAGGTAGTTGCTTGTCCATATACCATATTACCAGTAATTATAATTTTTTAACACCCTTTGTAACATATCAACTTCTTTTTAGTAACCAAGAATTGAAAACATAACTTTTTTTATATATATTTCTTAGGAAGACAATCACTAGTGTTCAGTTTGATAGCAAATGCATGATTCCTTTCAATAACCATATTATGATATCTTTTATTTGAAGAGCATGAAACAGCAGGATTTTCATTAAGAACAGGCAGCAGGCCAAAATGACTGGTTCAGTTATGATTTTAATCTGTCCAAACCACCTTTTTTTCTTATATATCTCATATGTAACTTTACAAAAGTAGTCCGGTTAAAAATGTCATTTGGTCTGTTCAAACAGAAGTTACTGAAAAGGTTTAAAACAATATGTATAAAAACTCTATCTCCTTACTGTTGCTAGAAAAATATCCCTGCTACCTAGTATGTGTATTAAAGTAACCACACATATGAAGCATTTTTGAAACAAATGTTTGTACATGTCTGTTCCATGACCTGACCAGAACAAAGATAGTAAGTATCATCTATTTATCAAAATGTTTTCTACATACTGGGGTTATTGATTAAGGTGATACTGGTCAAGTTTTTACAGGTCAGTTAAACTGGTGTGGAACCAAAGACTTTGAAACGATACAGGGCCATACCAGCTAAATGGCTTGGTGAAAAAGCTGAATATCTTTCCCTTGATATCATCATACTATGTTTATTTTATGCATTTATAACACATACATACACTGAAAAAAAATGAAACAAATTGTAACAATACTATTCATACATAGGGAGGGGAAGTAATTAGAAAGTATTTTATTCTCAACACAAAACAAGTGTATTACATCAACAATCATAGACATTAATTCTCTGATTGCTTTTGTAATATTACAAATACTGAACTCTATGAAAACTAACAGATCTATTCAATGTTATTGTAATATACAAAATAGAAGATAATCCAGGAAGAGCTCTTGCTTTTAAATACTACAGTAGAGTACTAATATATACATGCTGAACCCCCTTTACACACCTCTTCCTCCTCCTCACTATCGTCCTCATCAGAGTCTCCTCTTCCCCTCATGCCAGGAGAATCAGAGTCTCCTCCTCCCCTCATGCCAGGAGGAAGAGGTGGACCTATGTCATCCTCTTCCTCGTCACTTCTCTTTGTTTTGTCTGGACCAAGCATTCCAGGGGGAAGTGGAGGCCCTACAACCTCCTCATCAGAATCTGAACTAACTGCCTTTTTCTTTGGTTTGTCCTTCTTTGTTTTTGAATTTGGTTTTTCATCTGAACTGGAAGAGTCAGAATCAGAATCAGCACTACTGTCACTATCAGAACCTGATGATGAACTTGATTCTTTTCTTGATTTTTCCTTCTTACTCACAGTCAGCGTTTCTATATCTGGAGGCTCGGAATCTATGTTATCTGCAAAATAATACATTGAAAACAACACTGTTACAGTGAATGTCAGATTTTAGCAAGCTAGGATAAAACTTGTTTTATAAAATTTCCAGTGTACATGTTTTTTCATAGTGTTGAATATCAGCCTTTTTTGTTCACAAATGATTTTAGTGCAATTTTAATACAATTTTTAAAGTAATAAACTTAGTTTTCTGTCAATGCTTGTTTACAAACCCTTTGTTCTGTCGATGGCAGTTTTGCGAGCTTCCTGAAACATGGCCATAAAGTCAAATGTACGGGCTTTCTTCTGTGTTCCTGTGGTAAACCATCAAATAACCATGATCAATATCACACTATGTAAAGTAAATATTGAATTAACTTATCCTGCAGATCACTGTATTACTATTTAGTATCTTTTGAACTCTTTACAATCTGGTATACCACGGAATTAGATTGTTCTTTCCGATATGTGCATAATGGGACTAAGATTCAAATGACAACAGATGGTTTTTAGTGTCACACTACTAGAATATCACAACCTAGACAATATTACACTCCATTCCACGTCACTGGAGTGAGTAATGTTATGTATCCTACTCAAGGATGGAGTGATCAATGTTTGTGTATCTTCCTGAAGGATACGACATGTCGACAGGCGGACCTCAAATCACCGACTCGACAGTCACTTGTCTGTTGGTAGCTATATATGTATATATATATATATAGTAAAGCACACTATCCGCTGTGTAAATTACAGTGTCCCATATCATCAGATCAATATTCTCTTTATTCAGCATTTACCTTGCACATGGCTCTGAGTTGCTGAAGGTTTGTTTGCTTCATCCTTACTTGAATCACCTTTGCTTTCTGGAAAACAAAATGGTACAAAGGTGTGGTTTTATTTTGGGACCTCGCTTTCCAAGTAATTTATCCTCCAAGCTCCAAAGCTGGACTAGCTGAAGCAGAGCCTGTCATAGCTATACAATTTCAAATGGGATATATCAAAGTCCCATCCTCCTATCAGCATGTAGCATACAGAATTGACGATAACGAGGGGAAAAGGTTACATAGTCATGTCCAGTGTATAGCACAGAAGGATGATCCCAATATCTTATCCTACGAGCGCCCGAAACTGGATTGAATGGTACTGTAATTTAGAAACGTTGTTATAACGTTGAGCAAGAATCTCATCGGAAAATCAATCATATACATAGCAATCACTTCAAATATAGTGATCATTTAATATAATAGTAATCATTAATACAAATGAAAATAAGAAATAACAACAAAGACGATAAAGGAAACTTGTAAAGTGTATAAAACATATTTTTACCACGCAGAGATTTCATTTCTTCTTCATCGTCCTCCATGTTGCAAATCTTAGTCAATTGAGCGTTTGATTCAACAGTGTCAAACCACTTTTGAAATGAAGCGTTTAGCGCACTCGTTGAGAAGTACAAAATTAGGATTTCTAAACAAACGAAACAAAATACGATCAAAGTTTCTTTAGTACCAAATCATCAGATGGTTTTCTTTAAAATCAATATACAGTTTTCTTTTTTCATAGTTCTTCGTCTATCATTAAGATGACAACGGCTAGTTTCTTTTCATTAATCATTTTAATTTAGTCAGTGATTAGAGCGAAGTTAAGTTTGAAAACTGAACTTGTTAAAAAAAACACCCAAAGGAAATACACAAGGCTTCCAACCAACCAATGAATAACATTTTTAGTTTTTACAAAATGTTGTCGGCACTTCCTGATGTGCATTGTAAAAGGCATTCTCGATACTCCATATACTGTCATAGCAAAATTGAAGACACGCGGCAAGCTATTTGGTTGGTTTCGGGTAAAACACACCTGACTAATCGGTAGGCTGAAGCGACACCCGACTTCAAAGCCAGCCAATTGTACCGTTACGCGACTGACAGATTATTTTGATGTACACCAAAGGATCAAACTAGCGATCTTCTCGTGTCATCCATATATAGGGTGGCGCACACTGAGCCGTCGATTTTGCTGCGACATATTCCAAGTGTGCAGACAGCGAAAGTGAGCGTATCCCCTATACCGACTGATCTAAGACTTTAATCACGAATGTATCGATGTCAAGGCTTCAGTAGCTTACAGATCGAGTTTAGATATATATATATTGTGAATAAAATTTGACACATCACAAACTAAAGGTTCATACTTTTGGACTGGAAATAATCAAATAAACGAAAATGAAAAGAAACCATACCATAAGACCCTAATTCAAAGATTTTCACGGCGACAATGAATAAAAAACCCACCCAAAAACGGAAGTATATAGGTACCAAATTTCATGATAATATCTTCCGACAATCGATAATTGTCCCAAGCGTTATAACGGCAAAAAGGAAAATCTATATACTAATTTCAAGAACCTGTTCAGAGCTTCGATACGAGATGTAAAGGGGTGGCCTAGAGTCGAACCCGCGCCTGTCAGCACAACAGAGTACAAACGCTGTCAAACACTTTAGACCTCTCGGCCCTATATAAAAAACACACAGATATATTGGTCACTTTCGTTTATCGCGTTCAAAGTAGTTTGAATGTCTCGGCCATATTTGTTTGTCAAATAAGGGCAGACTTAGTGGTCTGGCACAGTCTTCTAGTGAATCTTGGCAAATACTTTGAAGGCATGCATTCACATTTGCATGTCAACCAGGCTTTAGCTTCTGAAATGTTATATTTAGAAATGAAAGAATTATTTCGCACAAACGACAGGTCTTCTGCTATGATTCTGAGCTCCCTCTCCAGATGGCTTTCCGTTCACTGGACGTTTTGGCGTTTTCACATCGTTCTCCGAAGATATGGTAGTGAGGTGATAAGTCTCCGGAACTCATTGAGCCTCAATAGCCCCTCTTATGTCCTCCAGGCTCCCCTCTCTCACTGTTCAACTTTCTTTTCTTGCCGCTTTCTTACATGGAAATCATTCCCGGCAGCCTCATATTTTCAAAATAGTTTGCCTGAAAATTCTTTTCAGTCCAACTCTACTGACAAGCACTCGATTTCATTTTTCGACATTCTGCCGACATGTTGGTGTAGCCGCGACCACTGGTGGTAACCGCCCGTAGTTCCTAGTCAGCAAGTCATATCTGTGCAATCATTGTCCTCATTCTCTTTTTCAGTGTCTCCGATTCATCTCAACTTGTCTCAGAATTTCCGTCACTCTTGCATGCTTGACCGCCTCCACTGTCAGCCGATACCATTTGGTACCGTGTCTTATGTCTTTCTGGATCTTTTTGACCTTACACTCCCTTCTGTGTTTCTAGCTTCCTTACTTTTCTGATTTCATCTCATGCAAACATATTTAATCCCATACAGTGCATACTATGATATATTTACTTCCTTTGTCTTAACGATACTCCCAACTAGTGACACATCCAGCAAGCGAATTATAAGTATCCTGGTACGATTGACTCTTTGACTCTATGGCGTGCTATCAGTCCCCGAGGTTGGCTGTATCTTTGATTGTTCTGGTGAGCTATCAAAGTGCTTCCAATATTTTGTATGATACTATTGACTACTTGACTCTTCTTTCTCTTTTGTTTGTTCTTTCATCCTCACTTACAATGTCCTCTCTTAGATCAATCGACTGCTCTGTCTTCTCATTGTTTATATCTATAACGCTCTCTTACACATTGAGGCTATGGCCACTGTAGTTGTCTTTCTAGACCATGGCCTCATCCATCACACCAGCGTATCCTATGCGATGCACCGCAACGTAAAAGAACACCCGGTATTTTTTCCATTATTTATAGTTCTCTGGACGTTTGCTGTCTCTATTTGTTTCCGTCTCTGTTTGTACAATGGACCTATCATTTCCCGACTCTCATCGGACTCCAATGTTACTTCCTTACGAGAAAATGCGACGGTCTGCCAAGCCAACACATTCTTTTTCTTATAGATACTGGCTCTACAGAATACTATAGTACATGTAAACATTGATAATACCAATGTAAAATAGACGCCCATTAGCCGGTTTGCGCTTAGATTGACGTTTCAGCGCTTCCACGATGTCATCTAGAAGTGTGCCGATCATACCTATTGCCTCTCCTCCTTCCTCCAAGGCAACGTGGAGATGTTTTTGCACCCGACACATTTCTTCTGCGTCTACCTTCTCTCCATGGCTCTCCATAGTGACGGCTTGTACACCATCTTATGCAAAATTCAACTGGTAGACACCATGCGCTCCATTCCTCAGCCCTTTAGTGACATTCAGTCCTTATATTTCGTTCTCTTTCTTTCGCTGACTTCCTCCAATCATGTCCCAGCAACACCACCTGTTTGATGCTCTTCAGTCACATTACGATGTCTGTTTCGAATGATAGCGCTGTTACCTCTGATTGAAACTGATTCCTGATTCTGATGGCTGGCCGCAGAGTCTCATTCTCTGGTGCTGATATCACTTCCCTATGTCTCCCCTTTCACTCTAGCTTTAACTAAGTGCATGGCTTTACCTCCCCCTATTTGATCACATCCAGCGTTATAGAAAGTAACAAAAGGTAAAAGATACAGCGTTTAGTAATAATTTAATCACAGATTATGTTAGTGAGAGGAATAGGTCCGTTGTATGCTACATGTTTCGGCTTGCGTTATGCATGGTGGTTTACTTCTTTTGACTTTTATCACCACTGATGAGTCTGAAATGGACGTAATGGACATATGGTTCAGTAAAACGTTTAGGTTGTTTAGTATTCTGCAGATATATATTTCATATTGGCGATTCCTTTCTTTCTATTCTACTAATGATATTTTTAATATTGGCAATACTGTATATGATAAAACGAACACACTATTATAATAACAAACGTTTATAATTAAAATAAACAACTTTTTATGATAAATTTAAATCCAAGAATGGTACTGTCTGATACAATTGATTCTATAAGTGACTTACCCTCTACTATACTTTGATTCACGGATGTGCGACGCTTTGTTGTTATCAACACTGGGCAATAAAAACCGTTTTACTCTGCATTAACAGAATATCGATATTAACATTACAAAGGATGACATGCACGTTGTAATATCAGAATTTGTTTATGATTTAATTCGTTATGAGAGTCTCGCACTGCAAGCAAATTTAAAATGACAAGTAAATATTCTATTATGAGAATATCGAAGACCTTGTATTATATTTCTTATTCTACTTCATCCTCATCTACTTCATTCCCTATTTACCTTGTAAAATATTGCGACCGGATACTCCAATAAATCCACCTTAAAATTTCTAAGCCGACTACTTAAAATACAAGTGTTCGAATTATAAGAAATTCTCTTACATTTGTTTTTAACATTGAATATTTAATTAAGCCTCATTCTATATAACAATTTAGATTTTCCTCTGACAATATAAATATCTCTAAAAGAGAGAAAATCTAATTTTAAAGAATTTTTAAGACTTCGTATTTTTTATCACAATATTTAAGATACACAGTAAACTTATTGAAGATTAAGGCTGACAATTCCACCTTATTTGATATCAACTATGAATGAGTTATGATCGTGTCAGGGAACAATGGTATACTGACCGCTCACTTCAGCGATAAGCAACCGAACTACATAATCTACGAAAATAACAGAAATACAATTGAAATGAAATGAAGTGAACAACCACAATGCAGGATGTCTTTAATAGTCACCGTGAATAACGATACAGATCTGTAGAACATTTTAAATTCTCAGCAGGATACAAAAGGCACGGCGATTCATTCTGTGAAGCTCCATTACAAAGAATGGAGTGTATTTTGTTTAACTACAGTCTCTACGGAGAGAAAGTGGCCGATGACTTTTTATTCTCGTCATGCGATTTCTATAATCGTTAAAACACGTGTCTGATACTGGATACGTCAGCTTCGGGGAAACATTAAATATCTATTCGTTAATTCCATGCCAAGAAATTGTTATTTTGTGAATTGTTTAACAACGGCGGAAATATCTGGCCACGTGGCTTATTATATAGAAGCTTTGCCGAGGTCATGGTTTACTAGGGAAGCGGGCGGGCGTCGTACTTGACATCAGATCAAATCGAATATGGCGAATTAGAATGTAATTTGATTTAAATCTGACGTGTGCAAATGTTTTGTCAATACGGTTTCCTGATCAGGTAATGAAAATGTTTTTAAAACTTCCGGTTGATTTTGTGAGGAACGTGTCGTCTGCTTTATGAATAATTTGTTGAGAAAAACACATGCGCTGTTCGAGTGTTGTTGTCGCAATTATTTGATTAAAGACAATCTTAAATTGTTACATATCATGCCGTACTAAATCTTCCCTTTTCAGCTGGTTTGAACTATTTTATTATTTGCGGAATATACAAATGTATAGACTGATGTATACGGTATACGTCATCTTTGATGTAAGTCTAGCCTGG